AAGAGTTAAAACACATGTTTAACTAAACAGTGTCCAACTATTTCGTGGAGTAAAACAAGTGTATTATGAGCATACATGAGCTAAAAATCAGTCATCTGTGCATTTGTGATAATGTACTTACGCGTATGTTATTGAGGTTCCAGCAGATGTCCTTGATGTTAACCTCTCGGCGGAAGGTGACCCAGCCGCGCCGGAACCAGCGCCGCTCGGGCAGCGGGTCCGCCAGCGCCACGCGCAGGAACCCGCCATAACGCTTGCACATCTATCGTACAATAAAACATTCATGTTAATAGTGAAAGCTAAATATTTTTATTGAAATAAAAAACATCCTTTGTATTTTGCTTACAGCCTCAACTTCTGCCTTAGCTATCGAAGGCGCCAAATTTCTCAAAAATATCGATGTAGTTTTGTGCAAAGCTCGAGACTCCTTTTTCTCTACGATAACGTCGTTTGTGCTTTCTGACTTTTCTTCTTCCGTCTTTTCTTTGTCCTGTGCAGCTTTAGGTTCTTCCTCAATTCTTTCCACGCTTGGGGACTTTTCCTTCTGCTTCGGGGACTTATCGGGAGTCTTAGACTTAGATTTGGATTTCCTGCGAGTGGCAGATTCACCCTCGTCTTCTGAACTTGAGGAAGAGGAACTAGATGATGATGAACTGGAAGACGACACAGCCGGCGGAGCTGAAATAAAATGTGAACAATTTATTAAATTCTTATAAGACTTTTCACCTCAAGATTTTAGGTGTAAAATAACTTACGAGGTTCCTTCTCTGGTGGTTTTTCTGCTTCATTGTCGCTGCCAGGTTGGGAATTAAACCTTGAGAACATCTTGGCCTGTTCCTGAAGTTGACGCAGGTGAGGGTCTATTTCCATAGTTAGTGGTGCAGTTGGCTTCGGAGACTCTGCTTTCTTGTCCTATTTATTAAATTCGAAATAAATACTTAGTTCTATTTTGATTTGGTTAGATATATGACAAATAATTACTTTTCATACCTTATCTTCCTCTGGTTTTTCTTTCTCTTCCTTAACTTTAACTTCATCAACATCAATTACAACTGGTTTGTCTGTATTGGTTTTGTCTGAAACCCAAAAAAAATATACAAAACCATTAAAAAATACTATTTGATATGCAGAAAAAGTTATATTTATTTGCACAAATTACCTGGTTGTTTCTCTGTAGTAGTTGAATTTTCTTGTGGTTGTGGATCATCAAGTGCCTTCAAATCTTCTTCAGTGCCACCTTCCAACTTGATAACGACCGTATCAAGCAGTCTCACTAATTTTTCAGACTTTTCTACATCAACTGTCACTTTGTCTAGTTCCCCGTGGTCCAATAACTCCAGGAACACGTTTAATCTGCTCTGTTTAATTATACAACAGACACAATATAATTTATATATATTTAAAAATAGTTTAACTACATTAAGACTTGGATCTTTACTTAAAGAGTATTTCATACATAAGTCAGGGTGAATTAACATTACTAATATTTGACTGATTGCAAAGCATATTTACCTTCAATGCTGCCAACTGTTCATTTTTACGTTTTACAGATTCCTCTGGATGATATTTGATCTTGAACCTTTAAAATGTAAACATTATTTAATTTAAATAGCAACATTAAGTTTACAATTCTACAAAAATAAGAATCACAATTAGACCAACTTCCAATATCATTCGTAGATGTGCTATTTTAATATTGGTACTTTATAATTATTTTAATACATATCTGAATTGTTTAAAAATACATTGACACAAACAACTATTGTTGGAGAAGTGCAATAAAAATAAAAAACGGAAATTCAAACTGAACATAACACTGAAAAATTACAAATTAGTTGGAACAATACAATATTGAGAAAAGCAAAAGAAAATTGGTCTAATAATCACATACAGCTCTTGTCTCATCCACATATCTGTTGATAAAAAAAGTAAACTAAAAGACATTAAATATTTAAAAAATCTTCAGTCTCACCTGCTCCACACATGTGGACTATTTAAACCCTACCCCTAACATAAACGAAACCTGCAGCATTGCGCGCTACAGGTCAACGCGATAAGAGCTAGCTACACACACATTTAACATTTGTACAAAGTTTGATTATAATTTTCGTAACGATGTGCAGCAAATCCACGCGAATACGCTGTAGACTGTAGGGAAAAAAGGTTACAATTAACTTTTGCATAGTAACATTAAAAAAATCTAGGCAAACTTACAGCATTTTACTTACACTTTGTTCACAAATTACTAGCAGGTTTGCAGTAAGTTGTTGCTTAGATTTTTTTAATTACCAGCAAATAAAGGAAAGTACACTACACAAAAGGCACATTTTTTAACGGATCACTTTGTTGTAACTGTCCTCTCAGAATTTACCTATTTTTAAAGTTACATAAAAAATATATAAGATTGACTACATACCATTCTTCATCTTTATGGGCAACAAAGAATTCATTGAGCTGTTGTCTCCTGAACTCCAATTTATATTCATTGTACTTCTGAATAGAATCGTCTACTGTGATAGAGTCGTCTTGTGCAGCCAGGAAGGCCTTGAAAGACATCATTGTGGGAGGACCATCTGAAGGCCCCATTGGTAAAACTGCATCTCTGTAATTAGGATATTTTATACATTTTTAGTAATTGCTAATTTGATGTAATCCATGGTGCACACTTTCATTTCGAAAATTATGTAATATATAATGTAATTTCTTGCTGATTTTTTACAAGTACCTGATAATTTAATCAACAATATCAGATAAACTTAACACTACATAGTCTAGGGTAGGCTATCTAAACAGATGATGTTGTTTCCTTTTATAGCAAATGTAACCAGGTAAAATACTAACCTTGCTGGTACAGGTGGCATTGGTTGTCCATAACCCTGGTGTGCTGGATGCGGGCCAAAATGATCATGACCCCAGCCATAGGAGCCATATGCATCATGTGGCATGCCTCCATATCTCCTGTCATCTATGGGCCAGTCAGGTCTAATCCTCTTGCTTGGTGGTCCTTCTCCTCTTATAGGAGAGTAGCCGCGGCTGGCACTGGCTCCTCCCCTGTAGTCTCTATAGTCAGGACCAGAACGACCTCCACGAGATCTTCCCACCCAACAATCTCTGATATTATTTCAATACTTTTAACCTTATAATTTACCTAATATATTACTTGTACCATTTAAACACATTAGCAGCTCTAAAAAAGCAGACATCAGTTTTATATCATGACAAAAAATATAAGAAGCTATATATAAAAGAACATTAAAAATTAGAACTAAATACAATTAAGCAACAAAATACAATTAACTAGATTACAACACTTATCTACAAAAAGAAAAGCCATATTCAAATGCCACTCCACTGAACATTCTAGTAAATGGTTGTCTACCTGATTTCTGGGGGCTTGCTGAGTAAGCATAAGAAATAAAATAAATTTAATGAATAACTACTTATGACATCATTTCTTAAATAAATTGTTCTACCAATTTAAAATGTTTTGTGATAGCCTAAAACATTTTTAGTGCTTAACATTGTCATTATTAATGCTGTTATACCTTCCAACTAATGCAATGGAACGTTTAGTAGGTTTAGAACTTTGGACTAGGACATCAGGATGTTTGATAGAGTGAGGTTGGGATCTGAAAATTATATTTAGATAGATATCATAGATTTTCTGGCTAAAAGGACAAAGGAAATAGGAAGTATTAGAAATAGATTTAGGCAAATATTTACCTTTCTGACCATTCTTCTCGACCACGGCTTCTCTCTTCTCTGCGATCGCTACTTCGATAACTGCTTCCTTCGGCAGTCCCTCTTTCACCACGAAATTTATCGCGCCTTTTTCGATCATACTCATCATCACTGTCAGCCATATCGTTTAATTTATTAAATCTATTACTGTTTTATATTAAAATTTGTGACTTATAGTTATAATTTCTATCTCTCAAAAAGTAAATCGTAAACGATGAACGTAGCCATTCAAGCACAGACAAAAAAAGAAAAAATTAGAACGTAATGTCAGTGGTGTTGCCAGTATAAAAAAATGTTGTGTTTACAGAAAGCAGAAAACTTTGCTGTAGAGAAATAAAGTCAAAGACAAAAGTTAAAAAATAAATCTAACTGTAGTGCATTGTGAGCTTTAAAGAAAAAAAACCGCTCACCGTTAAATCTTACTAACATTAAAAATGAAATCGACTACTATTATTCCAATAGTCGTACCGGTGTATGGACTGATAGCGAAGAGTATTTTAAGGATATTTTACACCAATATTTTAAGGAGTTCTCGGTAACAGTTGGATTAAGGGCCCGATACAAAAGGCAGTTATTCTAGAAACCGCGAGCATCGTAAGAAGGGTCTCTGCAGCCATGACCGCTGGTTGCTTGAATCATGGGATTCCGCAGCCGGTGTTACTCTATTTTTAATATAATATATTCTGTAATATTTTTTGTTTCATATATGAAATATATTATATTGGGAACATGATAAATAAAGATTATAAATGCGAATGGCGATGGATGTTTGTTTGAAGGTATCTTCGGAACAGCAAAAAGGATCGCATCAACCCTCCATCGACAATCTTTTATGCATCTGAATCTGCTAATCCTGACTTAGGGTAGGCTTCAATCCCCTCATCGGGGACGTATAGCAAGCCGATGATGATAATGATCATTTCATCCTCATCATTTTAGTAACATCTTACTAGAATTGTAAATGTGACATTTTTATGATGTGTGTGATGTGATGGATGTTTATTAGAAGGTATCTTCAGAACGGCTAAAATTATCTTGATATTTTTTTGGCATGGATGTAGAACATAGTCTGGAAGCACACATAGGTTATTAATTATTTATAATTCCTGGCAGACGAAGGCGCGGGCGTCAGCTAGTTAAGTTACAAATGAGATTTTCAGTTTTGTTTTACAGAGAAAACCTCCTTAAAAACCACAATCTTTATTTTTTAAAATAACATAATACAAATAATTTTAAATTAATTAAGATATATTTTGGCTCAACAAACACTTATTCTTACTTATACAATTCTTTATTGATATGCGGTGGGTAGTATATAAATTTAATAATGCTAAAACTTTAATATTATGTCACGAACTTACAGTACCCGTAAAACATATAGGACCTCGTTTAAATTTAATTTATAGGGTAGGTATAAAAATAATTAACCATTTTAGACACAAATATTGACACTCGATTCGAGTTTATATGACAACCCTCAACCTCTTGAAAAGTATGATATAATATTAAATTTCAACCTTAAGAGAGTTCTATTATATAAAAATAAGGATTACGTCGAAAGTGATCTTAAATTACATTAATATATTAGTCACTAGTTCTAATAACATAACAACTATATAAAATAATGTCAACGTACTCATTTGATGTAAATTGTTGTCTTGAGCATTGTATGCACCAGGGTTCGCACCTCCTATGTGAAAGCTTTATCTAAGGACAATGGAGTTCGTCACTATTGTCTCCGCAGTCGTCGCGGCCGTCGCAGCGTAGCAATCGAGGAATGCAGCGCTTATTTGAGCAACGTATCTCATGAGCATTGCACCCTCCGTCGCAGCCGGTTGGTTCGTCGCTATGGTCGCTGCAGTCCGCTAACCCGTCGCAGAAACGCGAAGAAGCTATGCATTCTCCATTCGTGCACGTGAACTGGTAGTCTGGACATTCTGCAAATATAAATATTTTATGTTTTTCATTATATGGACTACTAATTAATAATAATAACTATAATAATAATAAGTCAAAAACAATTAAACAGACATGTAATTAAAATTAATTTAAATCGATTAGCGCTAACACTTAACTATATATGTACTTTTTAAAATCCAAAATGGTCATTACTATTTTTTTCTAAGTTTTATAAGTAATTTTAAAATTAATAAACTCTATTTACTCATATAGATCCTTATCGAGATATAAATATTTAAAATGTCAACTATATGGAACGATATTTTGAATACAGAGGAAGTGGCGTAGGGAGGTCCGTTAGGTCTCAATGAGCGCATTCGTAACCTAGTTTCGTGAGCTGCTGAACGGTATAAGTACGATTTACATTCATTTACTTACACTTTCTGGGTCAAGATACGAAATATTATTATTCTAGGAAATGGATCTAGATTTTGATTCTGAACTTTGAAAAAATAACATTTTACAAGCTTAAACTTACTTATCAATTTGTATTTTTTATACTTTTATGTTTAGTAAGCCACTTCTATCGCTTTATAAGATTACTCTATAACAAATCTTTAGCTTCAGTATGATCATATTGTAATATTAATTTTTAAATTACATTCTGTATAGTACAAAAGATTTTGCGTTACAGTGCAATACAGCGTATTTAGTAATAAATGATGATGTTCGGAATAATATTTGATTTTGCTACGCTAGCAGTTACCTGGAGTGCAGTTTATTTCGTCGAGGCCGTCCCAACAATCGATGGCTCCGTCGCAGAGCTTGGCTTTAGGAAAGCAAGATATAGACTGGCCGCACCGAAACTCTTTCGTTAAATCGCAATCTGGAAAACAACACATTGAAACGTATTAACTTTCACTCTAGCAGTATATTAACATATTCATAATTATTATTCAGTTTTAAAAAAAGACTGTACAAATAAGCCGGTAAGAAGGCCGTAAATTTCAACTGGCCAAAAAAAAAATGTAGTTCATCCAACGCATTTTCGCAATGAGTTCAGAAAGTAGTACTTCATCACAATACTGTCCAATTGATATCAATATCGAGATCAATATGATCTCGTTTTGTCAGTAAACAAACAAAAGCATTACTATCGTTCATTATTTATTACGGAAAACTTGTCATACTTTTTAGCTTACCACAATACATTTCATCGGAACGATCGTAGCATTCAATAGAGCCGTTGCAGCGGGCGTGCTCGGAAACGCAGAAACCGTTCTTACAGCGCCATTGCCGAGCCGCGCAAGCTGCCGCACCCAGCGGTCGACACACTCGCACTCCGCGTGCCTTATCCACCAGGTGGCACGCCTCCGTCTCCAGAGCGCACAGCCCACCGCAACCTGGAATAATTAGTAGTAGGTTTTTTAAGATATTATAATATGCTACCTGCTGATAGATTTAGAGGCAAAGTAAACAAATATCAAAATTAACACGACTAACTGTATGTATCCTTCGGGAGTGGAATATCGAGAGTGGAAAAACACTTTTTTTTGTTTAAAATCAGCTATCAAGTCAAATCAGCCTACAAGAGGTCATCGAAGTTAAAGATTCTCGAGATAATTATTAAAGTAGCCAAAATAAATGGAATAAATAATGAAAGAAAAAATTTAGCATACCTGTTGGGTCGTCAGGATCTAGCGCAATTAGACAAAGTGATGTTCCACTACTTTCTTCTAACATACACACTTCATTTTTTTGGCACTCGCAAAACTTTTGAGTGATATTTGCTCCAGTCGTCGAGTCATTGTTTATCTTAAAACTAAGTTGAGTTTTATTCCCCTGTTTGGGATACGTCTTGATATTTTTTCGAATTTTTGTTAAAATATTTGATAAGTAAGATATATTTTTTGCAGTTGTCGTAAATGGTGCAAGTGTAGTGTCAAATTCTGTGATCCTAACAGTGGCAGTCAAAGGCAACTCTGAGTAAATACTGGCAGTCGCCGAAGGAATTTCGTTCAAGTCTATATTTTTTGTTGGCACTGCGTTTGTACTAATGATATTGGTGGCTTGTGTTTCATGATGTGTAAAATTCACTAAAATTAAACTTATTATAACGATTGCTAGAATCATTATGCTTATTGAGCACACTTGTAATTGCGTCCTTTTCTTGATAGAACTTTGAGTCAAGTCTACAAAGCAGCCGATTCCTTTTAGGCTTTTTCTTAATCTTCCTTGTCTTGGATTAGAGGTGGTCGTATCAAACGAGGTACATCTAAATTTGTGTTGTATACCGGAATCTATATCTTCAGATATTGTTGGAATAGTTTTATTCAAATTGGCAATTTCGTTCTCGCTTATATTTCTTACTAAACTACCCTCATCACAACAGGTTATTTTTTCTAAGTCATCAAATTTTGTTTCCGATTTGCTTACACTAAATTTTTCTCTCGGAGTAGAATATGACTTTGGAGTAAAATTTTCATTTGTGTTCTTTAATTTATAATTTCTTATCTTTCCTCTACACGATGAGCAATATTTAGTTATTTTATTATCTGTAATTGGTGCGTTTATAATTGTTCTTCTCAAACTGCTGTTGGACCAAAGATGTGTGCAATACAACGATTCTAAATTACAACTAGAATTTTCAATAATGTAACTTGTTGTAGGCAAATTGGTTTCGTTGTTGTTCAATAATGGCATCTTGTTTTTAACAAGAATATTGTCATCTACTCAGCATAGTAAATATTTTATGGGGCATCTGAAAAAAAAACATACTTATTAATTTTTTACTCGTTTTGGATAAAATAATTCTTTATCGTCTACTTATTTGATATAAGTAAATAAAACTTGTTTCAAACGTTTTAGAAACCCACGGTTAGTGACGTTAGGTTTTAATGATTTGGCGACGAACAGAAATTTAACTAAGTAATTTATTCGTTTAAAACACCGAAGTGAAAGTAATGAAATTAAACAAAATATGGCATTTTAACAAGCTTTCGGTAATGTTAATTATTTTCGACGAGTTTCTTTTGATAAACATTATAAATCTATATTATATGCATTATAAAAGCTCTTCTTTGTCTTGTAATTGAAATTTAAGTACAGAGAACAATTTTAATTACTTTGGTAACCGTATCCGAAGTGTTGCCGAAGTTTTGTGAGGGGATCATGGTCGTAACGTTTATTAGATCTCCAGTTACCATTTAATTGCAGTATATCTAATTACCTTTATAGCTGTGGTAATTTTTAGTACAAAAGCTAATATTTAACTTGAGCAATTTATAAATCTATGCAAGAGTTCAAAATTACACTGTACCGTTAAATGTTAGTCCGAATTAAGATATGACAGGTGTTACTTATTTCTTCTATTTGTTTAGATAGTAAAACAAGAATAAATCAAATACATAGAATTGCACTTGAATTTTAATTGATTTCTTTGATTAATTATATTTTTTTGTTTAAGTTAAGTTTCAGAATATTCAAGAATTCATCTCCATGACCTTTTTCATAAAATATACGCTGACCTCGACTTTGTAATAGGTTGATTTACAACATGCTTAACATTTTCTCACGATAGGTTTACACAAATTGACAATTAAATAAAATAATAAATAATATGACTTACATGTGATAATCACAGGATAATATTACGTAACACTAAAAAATATATTTATTTCATTTAATTTAAACGTATTGTCGGTTGGAAGTATTGAAACACGAGCGGGTAGTGTGCGGCCGCGTGTAGAGTATGGACTGCGGTTGCCGTTGACGACGTCTAAACAACTTTGCACCAACACAACACCACCCCGAGTACCGTAAGACATAGAAAATAGAGATAGACATACGTAAACATACCCCTGTAAGACAAGGACGTGAAAACGGGGTTGACTACAACATGGTTAGCGGCCAAGGCCCGTGCCCAGCCAAGAGTAACACGCGCCACGTTTTTATTCAACCAACTGAATGGACAGCTGTTCGTTGAAGTACCCTCGTAAACCTAATAAGTGTCGAACACAGAACAGGTTGAAAGCACCCGACTATAATTGCCGTATAAATAACTGAGTCATTGTTCCGCAAGCTAATTCGCAAATGCATCGCTACTCCACAACTTTTCATTAGGCGATAGTTCGAAAGTGTGCCGCGAAATTTTCCATTTAATTACAATGTACGCAATTAACGCCGCTTACAAGAAGTACAGGAGTTTACTTTTATATTTTGTTTACACTTTAGAACCAAGAGTAAAAGGGACAATTTTGTCAATAAGTGGAAATTAATATTATAATTAATAGCAGGATTAATGGACACCACTTTCTCCTCAGTTCACAATTTTACCTGCAGATTATGTTGCAATGTGAGATGGTGAACTAAACTGCATACGTTCATACATATTGCGGTTAAATATCAGAACATGTGGAAAACAGTTGGCTTAACAATTTGAATATTTTACATAATTAAATATAACTTGATAGATGAAGATCCCACTAATAAGTCCAATACAATATCATGATTAAACAATATATAATAATATAATATAACACAAAATAAAACAGACGATTTTTTGTATGTTCAAAAGAAATCCTCTAATCTAAAAATCTTTATATTAGGTCACTCATCTGGTATAATTTGTCTTTTTAAACGGTCTTATATGCGTTCAATTAATTAACGGTATGACTTTACATTACCCGTATTGTTATTATAATAGCGCAGCTGCAGTTAACACATGAACTTTTAATTGATAGTTATTTTTTATTAATATGTTAATGAGTAAACTCGCATGACCTAGGAAAAGTAATTACCACTTAATCTCATAATGTAACTCGGAATGGGTTCGATTCTGAAACAAATACTTTCAATTTACAATTTTAGATAGTACCGACTGACTAGTATTTATTTGAAAGACGTGAGCGTTTAATTTTCACTTCATAACGAAGTTTAAATGGTTTCTAATTATATCCTTGTAAATCTTACTAATATTATAAATGCGAATGTTTGTATGGATGGAAGTTTGTTTGAAAGCATCTCCGGAACCTGTGAACAAATCTCGATTAAATTTGTCATATTGTACATAGTCTGGAAAAACGCATAGATTAATAATAATAGTTTTTTTAACTCCACGCGAACGGAGTCGCGGGCGACCACTAGTGCGTTCATAAATTTAATGGTCATGACACTGATATCTGGTATGATCCAGCTTGTGTAAGGTCTGAGCTAACGAGTCAAAAGGTGACACGTTAACACGATGTTGCCTTTGTATTTCAAGATCTCATCTCACCTTTGTCAATTTCTACATAACTCTCAACACATTTAACTTTCATAAAATTTGCTTTAATTTACCTAATTAAATTTAAGTTTAATCCATGAAAACCAGCTTATATTAATTTTAGATAGTGATTGTTACTATACTGTTTAATATTTTCAAATAATAAGTTTTATTTTACAGTTTCATAGCACCATTTTAGCCAGAATTTGTACTTTTAAATTTTATTGCAGCCGCATATTTACAAAAGTAAATTAAGTGTGAAATATGATACAATTTGGAGTTATATGGTCACGCGAACTATATGTAAGTACAGGGTGTTCGCGTACTTGTTTTTCTTTTATATTACGGCCTTGAAAGTCTTTGGTTTAACCTTTTTTAAAGGCAAAGGCGCCTAGAGAGCTTTAGTTATATTTAATGCAGTAGTACGGAGCCACTTCTTTGTTTATGCGGCGTAATAAAATCTTTGAGTAGTCACACTAAGAACGTTTTCAAAAAAAAATTATAAAGCCACATTATTAAAGATGTATTTACATGTTTTTTTTAATAAAGTATACACAAATTGTAATTTTTTTTAACAAAACATAAATAAACACCGTATTCTTTCAAGAAAATCTTTCATTTATCACTTTTCACGATATGAATAAGTACTTTGAACAAAGGTATCTAAAAATCTATCTTTCAAAGGGATCCGAACACACAGGAAAAATATTTTGATAAACTGATTGGGAAACAACGTAAAATGTTATTTGAATGTTGGCAATAATTAATGTACGACATCTGACAGTGAAGTATGTTAACAATGCCCTATTCACCTGTGCTTTGACGGCCCTAGATGGGATGCGGTGCTGGCAGCTGGCAGCGGCAGCATGTAAGAGCCGCTGCAGCCCGCGGCCAGCGAGTGCGGGTGCGGACGGACGCCGACCGGCGACCGTGCGGCGGCACAACTCTCACTGCGCGCGTCGCGTGCGGTTGTCACTGCTCCGCGCCCGGCACTTGCCCGGCACTCTCTCGCCCACCTCGCCCGCCAGCCCGCTACTCGCTCGCACTGGCGGAAAAGCCTCAGTCCTCCTCAGTGCCCTGCCACACCACCGTTGGAGTGCGCGTAACGAACCGCGCGGTTTCTCTTCGAATTAGTATGTGAATGCGACATTTTTTTAACGTTGTTTGTTCTACGCGAAAACGAGTGAAATGTTATTGTTCGCTCACTGATCGTTACTTCGTGCATTTACTTCGCTCAGCACTCGGACGTTACTCCATGAGGAACTGGTGTTATAAGTTTTAAGGTGAGACTAACGTATTTTTAAATTGAGTCCATGACACGATGATATTGGCAATCATTTTTACAGTGCGATGGGTTTTTTGGCTAAATAAATAACATACTCAATGTAATAGTTCCATACGAGAGGTAGTAAGGTGTGAGTATATATTTCAATATCAGTGTCAAGAAATGTTTATAAGTTAAGATTAAGTTAAAACGACCTACTTCCAATCGGCCGAAGTGGAGTGTCCAAGTAAATACTGTGTCAGTATGTTGGTCGGAGGTTGTGATGCATAAAGAATTTTAATAACTTTTAAAAAAATATTTTGAAATTAAACTTAAAAAAAGTTGGACTGCATTTTTATACATTTTGCTAATATTGTAAAATTGAAAACATATTTTAAACCAAAAAAGATCTAAATCAAAAGCAACAGTAAAAAAAATTGAATACATGACATTTAACATAATTATAGGTATTTACCTACCACGAAACATAATTTATTTAGTTCGGAAAACTATACTAGCAATGCGCAATGTGTGTCGTGTCGTCTAACCGTATTTTGACATTACAAAAAGAATCTCACTTAACAGGAAATAATAAATACAATGTCGTAAAAGTTGTTTAGATATGTAGGTATATAAAATTGACACTATCACGAAACATATTATAAACAAGCGGTCGCCCTCAACTTTTTCAGCGCAGATTAAAAAATAAGCCACGACATATTGCCCTTAATGTTCCGTCAAAATCGGTCTAGCTCTTTCGGAGATTACCCCGACCAAACGCGGCTTGCACAGACATACAGACAGATTCATAAATCATGTATACGAAATATGGTTTTTATATTATGTACTATTACATACAGACTCTCAATTTTTATTAATATTTATGATCAAAACTTGGAGCTTCGAAACAATCTGAAAACTCCTATCATGCCGTAATGATAAATACCAAAAAATTTGTTTTATTTTTATCAAGTTCTGTCATCAATAACATGAAAACAAGCTTTAAGCTTAACAATCAAGTAAATTCCAAAATATTGTAACATTTTAATAAAACTTTAAAGTTTAGATTTAATGTTTCTGTTTTGATTTCAAAGTAATCAGAAAATAAACAAAAAATTATGAAATCCATATTTGATAATTATAACACTTTAAAGATGCAAGAGTAAGTTAATATATACATGATACTTAGAAGGTGTGTTACATACAACATCGGTTTCACTTTTTCGTTACCAAGTCAAGATCGCCGAATGACGCAGTCTTTGCCAGTTGAATACGCTCTCTCTAGCTGATATTTATACGATTACGCATACCGACGTCGCTTTTTCAATCTCGAAAGGCAAATACTATGACTATAACAGAAAGGATTTTTTTTCAATAATAACAAAAACACTACACCAAAAAAAGTGACTCGAAGATTTTTTGTTATCGGAAAATGTAAAAAAATAGACGCCTAACATTAAATTCCCTGCAGAATTGTGAAATTTTCAATCTTGTTTACAGAAAAGGAAACTGCTTTTAAACTACTAATGAAACTCCTTTTAATATGAGAACTGAATCCTTATTTCTGTCGCATAATAAACGTTCCGCGACGTAACGTAAACGTAACGCGATCGACCGTACACTGAATACGTCTATAATTTACATCAAGCGATTTAATAAAAGTTTCGTGATTTTTGTTTGCCTGGAAGTTGTTACATAAGAACCGGATGTACAGCTGATTATCCATTGCATAACTTCGGGGTCAAATCAACTGGGACTGATCATCATTGCCTTATAAATAATTTTGTATTAAAACTGAATGAAATCACTATCTTATTTATTCTAATCCAGTTAGTATGAGTTCATTAAAATGTATGTGTAATCTTAGGAGAATTTTAAATCGGATGATTTAATGATTGAGGCATCTTAACAGTTCTGAGGCGTGTAGTTACTGTTTAACCGAAGATCCTACACTTTCCTAACCCAGAGATTGACGCCCTTGAAGACATTGATAGTGTTACATTGACCCATATATTGTGAAAATAAAAATACTCCACCGGTTGACTACGATGTCTTAATAGAACCAAGTCATGCCCTCTAAACTTTCTTTGGTGATCCGAAAGAGGTTAACGGCGAATTTAGACGTGAGTGGAATAAAAATTGTGGTCATCATGCTACCAAAACTACATATAGCATATAAATGATAACTACTATTACAACGTCTATTGTATTTCTTAACACAGGCCAATTGTCGTCTCGATTACTTTAGAGAAATACAGTATACAGCATGTAAATAGTAGAGTTAGTTTTAGCTAGAATATTTTACTCCATGGAATCTCACGTATATATTATAATAAAACTATATTATATTTATACTCTTTTCTAGACTTTTAATCAAGCTCTTTGTCACGTTTGTACTATATTTAGTCTTAGTGAAATTTTATTTCTTATTTAACAATATAAATGAAAGTAGATTTACTACTATTTTAATCTAAATTAATATTAACAAATCGTTTTATAACTATCGAACGATTTAATATGCTATTTAATATGTATCCCGTTATATATAAAAAAAATGAAAGATAATAAATATAATAAATAGATATTCCAATTTTAAATTTAACTAAAGTTTTCTTAAGCTCATTCTCAGTTTCTTCAGAGTTGTAAGGATATTATGTATTATTGTATAACTTAATTATGATAATGTTCATGGCTTCCTACTTACATCACATGTCAAATGGAATCGCGCTCAAGGCCAAACGATTATGTTCTTATAAGTAGTTAATAATACATATCATTATTACATAAAGGAAACCACAGGCAAGGCGTAGGTGATCTGCATTAAGTTTATAGCTATGATACAGCAGTGGCTACAAGACATAAGCTTTTCAACAATATCTTACTAATATTATATATAAATACGTATATTCAGTTGGACGTTTTTTAGATGTTTGTTGAAAAGTATATCCAGAACGGCTCCATCGATCTTGCTGAAACTTGGCATAGACGAAGAACATAGTCTAGTATATAGGCTACTTATTAAGTTTTTTAAATTCGCGGGCGACTGCTACTTATAAATAAATTTTATAGATATTTCTTCATTAACCGAATTGTAAATATATGTATTAACAATAACTGTTCAGGTAATTGGACTTATGTTTTTAGATGTAAATATACGTACACAAAAATTTATTTTCAAAATGTGTGTCATAATGAAGTCATAATAAAGCGGTGAAATGGGAAATCAATTCAATTTAGCAAGTAAACTGAACGAGAAAGTACTGTTGTGATAATTAACTAGAAAATTACGCATTGTCGCTCGTAATGCGTGCAGCGTAAATACAGTCCAGGAGACAGTATTCGTTATTCAAAACAAAGAGCTTAATAAAAACATTTTACCTTTTCCATGGATTACTGAAAAAACTCAAGACGGTTTGACTTTAGAATATTATAAGCGTATCTATCATGTCGTTTAAGTAAGAGAAAAAATATTGATTTATTCAGAGTCCATTAATAGGCCATGATAATATGATTGCATTTTGTCAAAACTATGCGAAATTAATTTTTTTAATCCTCGGTATCTAACAGTCATTTCTTCAAAGAAAATATTAAGAATACCAATGTATGTGTTACGGTCTCAGACCTCTGTTTGTAGGGTCAATAATACTACATGGACTCTGTACTATTCACAAAATAATCAATAAGTTTACATATAGTCATAAGTTAAGTAATATTTGACTTTACTGTGATAACACACATTTATTTACTCTCATGTTTTTCCTTGACATTATTTATTGAAGGCTAATTTCAAAACATCACAATCTGTTAATGATATTTGCAAATGAAAAAAATTTATAAATATTGAATCTTCGTTCAAAGTAAATAGATTTATATTAACTAGTGGTCGCCCATTGGTCGAATTCGGCAATAAGACAATCATTTTTTTTTGTTAAAAATAGTTTTTTGCACTTAATAGCATTATCTTGTAACTGTGTCTTTCCCGATAATGTGTTCGTGTAATTTTAAAGGGGTTAAAAGTTTTTGCGGAAAAATTGCTTAATTATAAGAGAAATCTGGCACATGATAAATTTAAAAAATAATACTACACCTGGCACTATCTGGGTTATGTATAAAAACAAGATAAATTTGTTAACGATGAACGATCGATACAAAGTAGCTTGTATCTATTAATGAACCTATTTCGGTTTTTAAGAGAACACGTGATTCAAAATTGTCATTAAATTGATTAAAAAATCATGTTAATTACACTATTTCGTCGCTACAATCTGCACCGAACTACTTATATAAAATAAAACCAACTTAAGTATAGAGACAGTCAGTTACAAGACACACAGTTGGCTTGCCCTAGTGTTCTGCGGAGCGAAAAACAAACAGTTAAGTATATTTTTTACATATCATTTAGTTATAATCTTAGCACAAGGCGTTGCAATGAAAAGAGAGCTAAGAGTGTTGTATTTATTCACATAATACACTGAATTATTATAAGCTTGAGAATGTAGTAATAAGGTACGAATCTTAAAAATTTGTGTGTCTAGAAGACTGGATAGTTAAGTCTTATTTGCGGCGTTATTTGCAAATGAAGTCAACGTTGATTAATAAATTAACTTTAAGAACGTGAGTGTAAATTTAAAGAAACGTAATGATTGTCGAAATGGAAGGGGACCATAGGGGAGTATGGAGTGAGTGTGAGCGGGGACAATAGACATGGCAAGGTGAGCGACCGATGAATGAATGCAAGAAACAGATTGAATAGCGCTCTACAATTAATCGTGGGAATGCAGAATGCAACAAAGCAGGTGAGCTTCACAAACAATAGTTTCTTAATACCTTGATAACGAAGAGTTGTTAATTATTTTGTCGCAAATAGATATTGTGAATGGAAAATGCCAGAATGCTGCATAAATAATGATAAGTTAGAAGAGATGCCATGTGACAGAACATGAAAATTGTTTTTTGCTTGATAGCAGTGTAAGAAAAAACTTCGTGAAGACTAAAATGATTACGATGTTCGGTTTTCTAAATAATTCATCTGCAAACAAAATAAATACACAAGGGCTGTGCGTAAATTAAAGCCAAATGCGCAATTTTTCCATCTTCTTACATTTAGTTGTTGCAAAATTACAGTTTTAATTATAAAAACTAGATTTGTTAATTTAATAAGCCATTATGCGGTAATAGGGTCAAATTAATTGGCCTCGTTAAACCGTAATCTAGTTTAAGGCATACGCGACCTTAAAATTGTGTCAACTTCATACTTTTAACGTGTTTGATTTTATTGACATGATCATTAAGTCAATAATTATTAATTTTAATAAATAATATTATAACTGAACTAATAGAAGACTAAATATAATCCATTTCAATTAATCACAAAGGGGAATATTTTCCAACAAATGTGAATCATATACTCTAGACAAACATAATAAGCTTTTATAATATCCTGTTTATGGACAAAGGTTTACTTGAAGCAAGAATTCTTTGTTCTTATTCTTGCAACAGTTACTAGTGCAAGATTCTTGTGTATTAGCGATTAGGATTGCATGTCTCAACATCCAGTAGCTCATAATTATAGTACTTCGTAGAATAATAATTATTTTGTGTAATTATACCACGTCATAGCGTCGAGAAGGTGATAACAATGAACTCTAATAAATACCAGCATATTATGCATCAATCGAAATATTTTATTAAATACGCTATCAATAGTTTTAGTGCATTCAAGTCTATGTCTTAGTGCTATAAAATAACTTGCGAAATGCGATCATTGTTAAAACGGTTTTTATTTATTTATAAATCTACTAACGACCTAGGGGAGATTTCTACGGCAACTAATTTTTATCATGCCTCTGGTTAAAAAGGTTATTCTAGACTGTAATTCGTAGAGGTGGCGACCCTTTTTCGCCAGCGTTCTGTGCATTCGACGAACCGCGCCCTCCGCTAATGGCTGCTCTGATCAATTTAAATTGCAAATAGCTTTGAAATAAAAATTATAATATTGCCTTAATATAATAAGACCTTGAGATAATAAAGTCCGTCTTGATTGTTTTCTTTAACATTTAACAAATAAAATATGTATTTTCAATTTGGTAAAAGTGAATTCAACAGCGAATAAAAATAACTTAACGGTACATTTCGTTAACTTAACTATGCTATAAAACAAAAGAAGTTATGAAAAGTTGAAATAACAAAAAAGAACATACTTAACTTGTGTCCTTTTTTTGTTACACTGTTGTATATTAACAATAATTATATAGAACTTTTAGTTTTAAATTAAGGACAAAAACTTTAAAAACACTTGGGAGACTATTAGCCAATCACTTATTATAACTACTTCTAGCTAGACTTGTTTCTTGGGAACTATATCGTGTGGTAAAATGGTGATCCTTTTATACTGTTATATGGACCCTTCATTTGTTTATCAATAAAATTTCATATTTTTCTGAATATTTATCATGCCATTGTCTTGATAATTATAAAATATAAATATGTCCTATTAATACTAAATAAATAATGCTTGAGTAATATAGCTGATAAATTATAAAATAAAATATAAATAAAAATAAACTAGGATATTGTGTATTATGTCTATATGAAATTATAGTAAAGTCGATACAGGGCAATCAACACTGGTTTTTTTTTGTACAAATATGAGGAAATTATCTTATTTCTTATTAATAAAATAAAATAATGAGTTTTCTCTTTTTAACCCTTCAGTGTGGTTAACAAAAGTATTTGATGAAATAAAAACGGTAAGTACAAATCTGATTTTTTTTTATCATCAAGATGCATCCTTAAAACACAAAACTATGTAATTTGTAATTTTAATTTTTCTATAAAAATCTAAGTAACCTAGCGATAAAGATGCAAAGTTCTATAAAATCTCATTGGTAAAAAAAAATCATTTAAACCATAGCTGTTAAAAAAATTGTAGTTTGGTTAACATACATTTTCATCTAAAGTTTTTGACGGTAGTATTAAATTGTTTTATCCCCAAAAAATATATATACAATTTTGAAACACACTATCACTATAATTCTATATTTAGAGGTCAGTCTTCTTTTTATCATACTTGGGGCCACCTGGGTCAATTGTGGTCTGATTTTCTGTGAGCGGCATTGTGTCACAGCTAAGTCGTCAGAAGCGTCTATTGCGCACTTTGTAGTACATATTAGATTACAGTAGTGATATAATTGTCATAGTTAAATCTCGTTTAAGTGTGTATACTTCGAACGCGCAATAAACATATAAGGAAAGATACACTGTTACATTAAATTACTGCAGCATTTTATATTACAGTAAGTAGATGCACGTTAATTTATTAAGACGTAAGCAATGGTTTATTTTTAATAAAAGGTATGTCAATTTAAAGTAATAATACGAAAGATCATTGGTTGACGGCAATTCTTGCTCCTAACTTAGGAAAGGCTCCGTAGGGACGTTTAGTAAGCTGATCATGAATCGATAAATAATTGGACTTACCTTTCCAACGATATTTTCACGAAAATCTAACTGGATAGCATAAACTAGCAGTTTATTAGAATATTGTAATGTAAAATTTATTGTAATTTAATATTACACGTCACGGCAAAATATTAGAGCTCGCGATCCGACTCGAACATTGACTATGAAATGAGTAAAATCGTAGCAAATTACATCGGACTCATGTCCCAACCGCTGACAGTGTAATCAAGTATACCTAAAGTTATTAAGATTGCAGACACTCCTCCCTTTCAATGTTGTTATTATAGTAATCGATAAATTATTTATAATGTATTTACATATCTGCTTTAAACATAGTTTACCTACTAATGTTAATAGTAAGCTATTATTTGTGATATTGGTCGCCTTGTTGAACGTTACTAATAACATTAGTTTTTCATACTTCATCTAAGAGGTGGTTAACCCAATTATATTATAATGTATATTTATATCATAGAAATATTTTCTAAATAAAGTACTAACAAGTTACGAAGGAAATATTTAAAAATTTGACAGCGTAAGATTTCGAAATAAGCAGCTTAAAAAGTGAATTAGGCGCGTGGGCGTTCAATGTCATAATGCCATTCAAAGTTGTGGAAGCTGCTAAAGAATATAATGGGAAGTGCATTCCGATGAGACTATGCGTTTACAATAGATGAGCTATTAGTTGGAGAAAGTGAGTTCGATGAACTAAACGAGAGTGCATACACAAATATGAAAGAAATGCATAAAGAAGTTGTATAAATGTATAATAATTAATTTGCCCGATTTACAGAGAACAAAGAGACAGAGTTAAATTAATTATTTGTGTGTTCTATTGCGAAATAGTTGTATCCACTGTTACATGTGTTCCATTTTTGCTTTAACGTAATCACAAAGTTGAAAAAACAAAAAGAATATTGCTATACTTATATGATAATTTTTTTTTTCGTATTTGTCTTGTTTACACATTTATAAATTACAAATGTTTTGCACACTTATTGCCATTTATCCCTAATTACAAAATTCATTTTTAGTAATATTGTTTGAGCTACATTTACCTTATTGTATTTCCTGTTATTGTTTGATAGCACACAAAATAATTTTAACTTCAGTTTCGCTCCTCTGATGTTCCAGAATAAAACGTCTTACATGCTATAGTTTTAATCAGATAGATACAAAGCAGTGGCAGAGGTGATGTCGAATAAAACGAGACAATGCCAAGTATAGAGTTAATACCTACTTATCGATTTAAACAGACCTTCTTTAGAGACGGTTATGATCTTAGTGGGATAATATAATTAGTTATTTACTCAGCTAATTTTGTTACATAAATTTATGACGATTAACCACGTCAAATCAAACTAATATTATAAATGCGTATGTTTGGATGGATGGATGGATATTTGTTTGAAGGTATCTCCAGAACTTCAGCATGAATTACACAGAAATTTGGCATAGATGAAGAACATAGTCTGGAAGAACACATAGGCTACCAATTAAGTTTTTTTTTAATCTGCGCTGGCGTAGTCGCGGGCGACAGCTTGTATAATCTTTCAGATCATGATCTCGCGTCTTTAAACTATTTCTTATTTATTGGATATTGAATATTACGTATTCCTATTTGTATGTCATTCAAAAATCTAGACTAAAATAATCATACGCAAGTAGTTCATATATGTTTTGTTTCTAGTATAAATTCCTTTTTATTGTTTCAAATACGGGTGATTTACAATGATAATTAGATTCTAATTGCATAGTAAAGTAAATCATAAATATTCAGAAAATACTTAGCTTTACAAACATCCATTAAAATAATTTTGCGTAACGTCAGATATAAATTTTGGACAAAACTGGGAATTCAAGGACATTTAGAAAATATTTTGAAACCAACAGGAAACAATTAGTGATGTAACGTTATAAATGATTTCGAAACGATTTTATTTATTTTCTCTGGCATTGGCATGACAAACAACGTAAATGAAATCCGTGCCATCCGGCGCGGTGTGGCGCGACCAGCCACTAGCCACTGTCACCTCACTGCAAGTCATTTGGCGATGTTGTCGCAAACCAGTTATTCCTCACGCGCCTATTCTAGAAATCTAAACTAGACTAGGAAACGAAATTAACTACCTGCAGAAATTCATAACCTGTTAGAGAGACTATCTAAGAAAGTATTTTTAACTTTAATATCTAACTAATACCTTTGTGTATATATATGGTTTCTAATTTTATAAATTAACCTAACAACAATATTTAATTTGTCGATTGTTTCATAACTATTATTCAAACTCTAAATTATATTTAGCTATACAATTTTAAAATGAAAAATATAATGCATATTCAAAATTAATAATTCAATTCGAGTTTCACTTAATTGAATCGAAATAATTTTACGCTTTCGTTCAGTACATTTGGATCTAAATTTTTTGTATTATTTAAAATTTACTTTGAAAACTTTATTGTAAAAGTTTTCAAATGTGTAAAGAAAAATTGGATACATATAAGACAAAAAAAATATCCATGTTGAAATCTCGTGAATATTCTTGAGGTTATCAACAGATGCAATAAAGTCTTAAGTATTATATTCTTATTAAAATGCGTTAAGGACAAAATGATGACATGGTGTTGGCAAAGACGAAGTGAAAGTGGAAGAGATTGAACGTTTTACGAAAGATTGTTGTCGTGTGCTCGACACGATGAAAGTGCATGGAGCGGATTATCCTTAACATTTACACGCGTCATACGGAATTTAATGTAAATAAGTACTCCCAAATTATTTTACAGGGCTCTGATTGTAAATTGTCAGTGTAGCCGTTACAAAACAATTTTTTTAAAATAAAAAAATCTCTGATCTGATCATCCGCATTACCTCAACAAACTAGTGCAAGTGGACCTCCTCGGGCCACGGGAGACTAAACGCCGTCGTTGGATCTTCCGTGTACGATGGTGTGAAATATTGTTGGGTGTTCCCAAGTTATAATGAAATGTAGCAACAGAAAGTTTACGGATATCAGTAACAAAAAGAAGCAGGGCAAAAATTAGATAATCTTTGATCTAAGTCTTCCATACTTTAGTGTTTATTGCTGACTTCTTATACTAGCTTCAGCTGCTTTAAAGGCGCGAGCGTTCGTTGTCGGAAATTCTGCGAAGAGCGTATGTGCAGAATGTCAACTATCAACTCTCTATTATCATTACTAATATACTATACAAGTAGCTAAATATACCTACTATAGTATTAATTAACAGAGAGCCCTGTCGAAAATTATTTAATAGTATAATCAATAGCCTATTACAGTGTAGTGGTTCAATAAAATCTAATAAGATGAGGTTTCTAGCGACATTTTGTGCGAAATGAAATTACATTTAAATCGACAGTTACAAATTTTATGTAATAGTTATAAACAAACAATATTTTTTCATCATTTATTACGAAATTGATTAAACTCCTAGAAAAGACCCCATTCAGACTTGAAGTATATAGGCCATAAGATATATTTTAAGTGCCTACAATTTGTCTAATGATAGAATCCTTGTTACTGTAATCAATTATTTGAAGAATTTAAATGCTTGATTTTCAAAAAACGCTTTTTAGATTTATGTATGTAATCATTTTAGAAATTAATCATAATATCGTTATAAAAAAATAGTAAACTGTTCATGATTTGTTCGGATGAACAAAAACAATGAGTTCAATGCTATGTAACGGTATAAAATCTCGTTTCGTTAATTCTTTTACAAATGATTGCTTATTGAAACCCAAAATAACAATTAACTTCGCTTCGCTTCTCGTAGTGTATTAAACATTTTTTTGTCCTGTGTTAAGGAATGTTTCTGATAAATACATTTTAATATGTCTACAATTATTTATATCTAGATATGATTTATTTGCGAATTGACACATAAAATTTGCAAAAGGCTAAAATTGATTTTTAAACATATGAATTTGAATAAACCATATCTTTAGTAAGAAAATTCAGGGTTATGATGTCTTTAGAAACTTTACACACTCACTTCATCTGGCTATGATAATTTGCGTAAAGGTTATTACTTTCAGACTTGTATCTTTTTTTTTTTCTCTTTATTTTTTTTTAGGGACTTTTGTTCTTTTGAACATGTCAGTCCCATAATCAACAAACACATAATCAATCAACTAAGGAGCTAATTACAAAAATACAGTAAACTAAGACTTGTATCTTAATACAACATACTTGTATTATTTTACAGTAGCAAAACTAGTTATAGTTGCGTTGACCGACGAAAAAAATTTAATGGGAATATTATTTACAAATGAAGTTAAATCTGTAAATAATAATTTTGAAACAAATCTAAAATCTTTTGGTTTCAATATATTTTTATTTTTAATATTTTTGTCTAAAGTTTTTGCCGGCAACCCTAAATATGGCCAGTAATAGTGGCGTAAGCGTTGGCGCTAACTAGAGAGACTCGTGTGTTTTCACCCTCACTGTCTAAACAATTTTACACAAAATGATTAGTCACAGTAGCGTAATTTTTGTAAACGCTGTTTTGTATGTTATAATACTTGCTGTCGCCTCCTCGACGCTGCGACTCCGTCCACACGGAATTAAAAAATCTATTTAATCAGTAGCCTATGTGTTCTTCCAAACTATGTTCCTGATGTTCGGCAAATTTCATCGCGATCTGTTTAGCCGCCCTAGAGATCGATCCATCCATTCGCATTTATAATATTAGTAAGATTACACTTACTAATTACTATAATTTCCCGCTAAAATGTTTAAATTTATTTACTAAATAATATATTTAGTCACATTTATAACTTACTAGGTCAAAGTTCGGTTAAGTTTTACATTTATAAGTTTCGGTAGGTAAGAGATATCGTAAAAAAATATTTAGAAAACTGATCGCACACATTAATTAACCCTCTCATTGTATTATTGAACAGCTGCTGAATACGATCGTCAGTTCAGGCCGTGCGATACCGCCGGTCGTCACTTTCCTTCCAACAAAGCAATGAAGCGAGGAGAAAGTGCCGACCTCCACGTCCGTGCCACTGCCAACAAACACGCTGACTCATATACTGAACACATCATTTTTGTTAATGAATTACAACGCAAAATTATAGTGACATAGCCACGACTGTCGAAGATTCTACCAAACTACTGGACGATAACGTATAGTGGCACGCATGGAGTTTTGAGAAATGTGGTTTACGTTTATACATATTTTCTAAGCATTATGTTGCATCGAGCTGAAATGCTACAAACATAATGTATCTTTTTATTTTTAACCAAATTAAGTCCTATCTATAATAACTGGACAATATATTGTTAAATTTATGTTACTTACGTGCTTCTTTAATGTAACGAAGAAAAGATTAAATAGCAAAACATATAGTAAACGCGTATTTAAAGCATTTAAATTATAGGTGATAGTGATTAAGACGTTGCAACCAGTTTTTGATAACGTTTTCCAGGAAAATATTGCTTAACACACGTCTATCTTTGCTAATTACTGTAATGACAACGAGCAGTAACACAATAGTAAACTCTGCTAATAATAAAGTGCTACATAGGGTTACTTTGTAAAACTACTTTTATATAGTGAGTTTACACTAAAATAACACTTGCATAGAACACTGTTAACGCTTTTTTCCAGTATTTTGACTTCGCATTTAAATCCGATATGACATGAAGCTATTCTTAAAATATATATACATTTTTAAACAACACGATCCTGACATGAAATTGTTATTATGTCTTACTTTAATAAAATGCTCACTTTCTACTCGAATTCTTTAAATTACTTCACAACTATACGACAGAATTTTAATTTTCTCTACGCAGATGCGTTCTCAATACTTAAAAGCTAATTGTAAGCTCTCGGGGAAAGCTTACGCAATGATATCCAACATTTATGAGTGATTGCTTATAGCGTAAGCGGTGGTAATACTTCAAGCCGTGTATCACAAGCCGCAGCCGTAGTTTATTATAATAATGTGGCTATTTAGGCGTCATAATGTAATTTATGTAAGCTTCTTATAGATATTACGATTGGTATGTGCATTTACTTTCACTTATTTCTATGAAATAATATAAATTACTTTTATTGGTATTGTGAGCTACTTTTCATTATAATAAATTATGTTTTACGTAACATGTATCTGGAAGTTTTGGAAGATAAAAGCTGACTAAACAAGGCAATTTATTTTTTTATATCTTTTCTATTATTACCACCTGTACAAACTTTGTTTTAGTAAAATAGAAAAAAAAATTGAAGATCGTCTCAGGACGAATCCTAGCCAAAGCTTTTGTCGGAGTGACAATCGCAGGTGTCTCTCTGGTATGTCCATACAATACTGACATTATTTAACAATTGTATATTTACATATGAATTTTTTTGTTTGTTGCAGATCCTTCTTTAGCACGCCTCAGTTATGATCATTAGAATACCATGTCTCCTAATAATATTAGCAAGCGTCTTATTTTTACAGACAACAGGTTAGTTCCTTTTTATTAGTAAAGTAATTCCTGTAAAATATTTTTTCCTTCGATTTAAATTAAATATTATCAACTACAGTCAAAATTTTGTTTTTAAAGTAAATATATAAATGCTTATTAAACTTTTTATAGGTAGCCCATTCGTTCAACAGAGTGCAAGGAGTAAAAGGCCTCTTATAAGATGGAGGCCGCCCACCGATACTTGGAGTTGGACCTCGACACCAAGGAACGAGGAGCCTTTCTTCAGACCTTCCAATTTTACTCACAAACTGCCACCGACAGCTAATGAAACTGAAATATTAGCGCAAATGGCTACTCTAAAGAGAAATTACTCGCGTCTTCTTTGGGACAGCGATAAAAGCACCAATTTGCCATTATTTGTTGACAAAGCTTTGAAACTTCTTAATTTAAAACAAGTGTACTACGAAGTGGAACATTCAGTGATGTCGAGAGTCTCGTGCACAGCGTGCAAGGCGGGCGCCGGACTGCTGCAACATTATATCAAACTGGGGAAGAGTAAGGAAGAAATAAACAAGATGATCTATCAGTTCTGCGTATCCCTTAACATACAGTCGGCACGTGTATGTGAAGGCATTACTAGATTGTTCGGGGTAAGGAACTATTCCCTCTGTTTGTAAGGTAATCTATACTTATCAAAAAATGAACAATATTTTATTTTTGTTTCAGAGCGAGGTCGTGTACGTATTGAAAAGAATTACAATAGGACCCAATGAGATTTGCAGTTTTGTAATTGGCGATGCCTGTGGCGATGTGTATAATCCTTACCATGAGTGGGAAGTGGCGTTCCCGCCGGTGCCAAAACCCGTTGTGAGGACAGTAGACTCTCCAATAGAAAAAGCCCCGACATTTAAAGTTCTTCAAATATCTGATACTCATTTTGATCCCTACTACGCTGAAGGTATAATATTTTTCAAGTTTTTTATACTATTGTACTTTCATTTCTTTCATTATCTGTCTTAATCTTTGCTAAAGCATCAAACGATACGAATATAATTTATTTATTTTTTGTTTATTTCAGGTGCTAATGCGGAGTGCAATGAGCCTCTTTGCTGTCGGGCGTCCAACGGACCTGCGCTGACGCCTGGCGGCGGCGCTGGCCGCTGGGGGGATTACCGCAAATGCGACACACCGAAGCGTACCATCGACCACATGTTGAAGCACATAGCTGACACGCATCCCGTACGTAATTATAAATACGTTCACTGACCTTCCCTTCACCTATACAATACGCGGTAGACACTTAATTACATGACACTGCAATATGTCCGAGTCGACTTAGTTGACAACATTTTTGATATAATTTTCCCAATTACGAAGCATTTCAGAACATTACTATATTTTTATTGAAGTAAAAAGGACTTCAGTGTGCGATATACATAAAATTGCAAACTTTTGATACTAGATGAAAAATTATAGACTAAAAAAAAATCGTAATATTTTCAGGACATAGATTACATTCTATGGACGGGAGACTTGCCACCGCACGACGTTTGGAATCAGACCAAAGAAGAGAACTTGAAGGTTCTTCAGGAAACTGTGGTGCAGATGTCGGACATGTTCCCCGGGGTTCCCATATTCCCTGCTCTCGGAAATCACGAATCTTCCCCGGTAAATAGGTAACAAAATTCAATAGCCTTTTGCTACATTTCAAATTAATGACTACTGTTATTATTTACCCTAACGGAAATTTATTAATGGAAAAATTCACATAGATCTCATATTCTTGTTGTAATTTATTTAATTGTTTCTAGAAACAAGGTATTTATTACTCATTTACATTGCAAGTTGCTTAGTGAACTCTAATAGTTTTCTCGTACCTTATAAGTCCTTTAATCTTGTTCTTTACTGTGTTTAAAGACAATCTTCTATCCAATATGAATACAAAACAGCAAAACATGACTATAACGTGTGAGTCATAAATACATTAAAAGTCAATGAAAATCTAAAACCTATACAGATATGATATCTTTACATACAAGTGAATAATAGAATGATTTTATCGTGCAGAAACTATTCTACGAGGGGAATGTATATGCAGGTCAATGACTGAAAATATGTGATGTAAATAAAGGATTTTGTATACTCATAGTTATTTAGTACTTTTTATTCGGGATACGACATACGTTTGTATACCCTGTCCGATATCGAAATTTATGAATACCATATTCGTTCGTCGTTCTATTTCTAATTTAGAGATGCGTTTAGTAACCAATTAACGACGTGTTTAACAATAAGAAATTTTACACTAATGTAATTCGATTAGCTTTCCTCCGCCGTATATCTCCTCATCGGAGTCTAACATCGCGTGGTTGTACAACGAGCTGGACGCGCAGTGGCGGCGCTGGCTGCCGGCGGGTGTTTCGCACACGGTGCGTCGCGGCGCCTTCTACTCCGTGCTCGTACGACCCGGCTTCCGAATTATATCGCTCAACATGAACTATTGTAACAATAAGAACTGGTAAATACAACTTATACATATAGTAGGTAAAACTACTAGGCTTTTGAGTTAATACAGGAAGTACTCTTGCTCCCGACGAGCCAAAACAATGCCGGATACGCGCTTGAGTTGGCACAACGGGGTAAAAAGTGCTATAGTCTTATGTACCAAAACAAATGCTGGGTTATCATGCCGAGTTATTTACAGCTGACTCGTCCAAACATTTACCGAAAGTGTTTACCTATTGTTTTCTTGCAGGTGGTTATTACTGAACAGTACAGATCCGGCCACGGAACTGCAGTGGTTGATATACGAGCTCCAGTCTGCGGAGTTCAGTGGAGAGAAGGTGCACATCATCGGCCACATCCCACCCGGACACTCAGACTGTCTCAAAGTCTGGAGTCGGAACTACTACGCTATCATAAACCGATACGAATCAACCATAACCGCTCAATTCTTCGGTCATACGCATTTTGATGAATTCGAAGTATTTTATGATCCTAATGATCTTGGTGCGTTATCTAATCTATCTATTAGTGCTCACATCTTGGTATTATTTGCTTCTAAATAAATCGCATAACTCTCTTTTCAGGAAGAGCAACAAGTATAGCATATGTTGGACCCTCTGTATCGCCATATTATGATTTAAACTTAGGATATCGCATTTATTACGTTGATGGGGACCATGATGCTACAACAAGGGTAATTCATTTATTCTTATTGCTTTTTTGTATTTTGTTGTCTATAATATATATATATTTTATCTTTAATAATTTTGTTATCTTTGTAGCTTGTAGTTGATCACGAAACTTGGATTATGAATCTCAAAGATGCTAATCTTTTTGGCTACCCGATTTGGTACAAGTTGTATTCGGCTCGCTCCGCGTATCAAATGCAAGCGTTACGGCCACAGGATTGGGACAAATTCATAGATGACATGACATCCAAAGAAGACGTTTTTAATTTGTATTTCAAGTATGTAATAATTCATATTTTACTGCTTAATTTCATTACTTATAGTGATCCTATTACGTTAATTGATCCAGTATGTAAATACTCGTTTATTACATGTATGTAATTTTAGGTGATTCGTTGCTCGTTTGCTCCCTTCTCCTATAAAAAAAACTAGAACAACAGCTTTTTCTAATTTGATTAGGTATTTTTTGTGTTAATTTTCTTTCTAGTTATATTTGGTAAATAATAAAATTTTTATTTTTCAGACATTATTGGAAGAACAGTCCCCGCCGCGGGTCATGTGACGGGGAGTGTCGCAAGCGTCTCGTATGCGACGCGCGCTCAGGCCGATCCCACGATCGGCGCGCCCTCTGCGGTCACATAGAGGCGCGGATTGATAGCACCGCGCCTGCGCCGCAGACATGGCGCGCCTGGCTATACAATGGCCTGTCTGTTTCGTAAGTTAGAAACTCTATAACAGCCTCTCTTCTTTTCTGCTCCTTAAAAATTACAATAGCATTGTTGTAAAGTGCTTGTTTGCTATCTTGATACCATAAAAAGCACACAAAACTATGTAATATGCACCGATACTTATACCTACTTTAATTTGCTTTTTCTTCCTTAACAATAAGCTAACAATAAAAATTTGCGTTTCTAATTCTATCATAATTTATAAGTTGAATAAGCGCATAATATAGGTAAACTAAATTTGTAACATAAAATTCTACACCTGGAGAATATTGTTAACGACAATAATTTTGTATGTATATGACATTAGTCAAAAATAAGAATTAAGTGTTAATATAATTAAATGATTTTCTTTGGCAGAGATAGTCCTAGTGTACAGCAAGTATGAGCGGTGATGGCTTTTTTAGGTCTGCAAATAAAATATGGTGGATGAAGGACTTGTAAATAAGTATGTATTGGAATCTAACCAATAAGCTACATTAACATATATAAATTGCCTAATAAAGCAATTAAAAGAATACACTACTAACATAGATTTAAGCTATAACTAAAATTATTACTAATTTCCAACAAAGTCGACTAGACCATTGGTAAGATTTCACAGAATTATTTTTTCACAGATGAATTTTATAACCTCGTTATCCAATCATAACTCTCTGCAATAGATATGCTACCTTGTATCGCTTTCCATTTCTTTGGTGGTGGATCCTGAGCATATTTGCTAAGGTCACAAAATCCTTTTCGTTAAAAAGCTCATTTGCTATATCTTACACCCTTGCCATCTTAATTTATTGTACAATTTTATTACAGGTTTTATAAACTTTTACAATAAAGTAGAAAGTTTATAGAATTAATTGTAAAACATTTTTTAATCTGTAATAGTTAACTTAAGCGCTAATAGCCTAATGGATAAGGTACGGATTTCCGATCAGGTGGTCGGGGGTTCGAACCATTCGACTATTGTCGTAAACCATGTCCTAGTACAAGCATAGAGCTTAGTTGGAATGGTGCATGAAATATCAGTAAATCAACAAAAATCTGCTATTTTATAAAAAAAATTCGCTCGCGATGCAGATTTCCAACTCTCGATGTGATCAACGACACAACTGCAGCAATGATGACTTATTTTAAAATATATTTAATGTTTTCAGATTATCGATGTTGATGCAATTACCACAAGTGGCTTATCAAATACCAAAGTTTATAATGGGATTGGGATGAAATTTGAAAAGAGCATGGGCAGAGGTCAAATTGAATTGCACCACCGGATTTAGTTGCAATGAGAACATTTTTACTAAGTTACTTTTAAGAGATATTTCCATTATAATTTATTATTCTTGTTTCTTTGATTTTTGTTTGTATAAATATTTGAAGATTTTATTTTTTTACATATTGTTAAGGTTGTCTAGTTATCAATTTTGTGATTTCAAGTGATTCAAAGTTGATAAATTTCAATGTTGTTAATACTTGTACATACGATTTGTAAATTTGTAATAAAAAATAAGAAATATTATATTTTTTATTAAAACTACGACATTCCTTGGAGATTTTTATTTTTTTATAAAATCATTAAAAGAGAGCATTCGTTTGTTCAAAGTATCGAATTATATAAATACTAATTATTAACATAGTACATGTTGACGACATATAACGAAAGCATACCTTTACATAAACCAAAATTGTATTCTTTTAAATTGAACCTAATGTATATTAACGTTATATGATGCCAAACATTGAAAAATTAAAATCGAATTAATATAAATTACAATTCGTGTGTATAAAAACACTTAAATTAAAATGCGAATGCTCACAAAGGCTCACATCACACACAAATCAGCTTATTCCTCAAGCTGTTATATTTACACTTATCATTAAAAATGACAGACAAAAACAAAACATACCATTTACGGCTTCCGGTAAGTTCACTTCAATTAATATAATCAGTCAGTTTTAAAACGACATTTTGTTAAACACACAGAGATTTCTTCAGTTCTAAACAAATTATAAGCATAAAGGTGGCACTACATTACACATACAATGATATTATTATCATATTTAGCCTTAAAGTTTGTACATTGGTTTTTATGTATCATTTTAAAATTATTACAATTGGAATTGTACTTAATTTGTAACTGTAACTTTGCTACTCATTCAGGACTAAGATGTTCGTCAATTAACTTAGATTACCAAATCTACATAACTAAAAACTTAGACTTATTATAACGAAGAGAATATACATCTAATGTAGTACAACCCTCATGCCCCTTGATTCAGTTATTACAATGTATGAGTTATCAAACTGAATATCATGTTGAAAATAGTTGGCTTTTTACTGCGTAAACTACAAACACCCAAAATACTCAATTATCTTTGAATGTGTAAAAAAACTAACAATTTGTAAAAAAAAAGTAGTAAAACATTTTACAAATGTATTCTTAAAATGTTACAATACCCAAAAAATCTTAATTTTTACCTACATTACGACAGGTAGATACTGATATTTGAGCCCTAAAATAACAAAGTAGAAAGTCTTAAGTAATAAATGCAAGGAACATTTAAGTAGGAAATGGTGGAACAGTGAAGTGGCAAGAAAATAAGAATGAGGAATAGCATGAACAAAGAAAGGAAGAGAAATAGATTAAAAAACACATTAAAAAAATTGTAATGTGTAGTGATTGACTTTATAATACTTAGTCCAACAAACATATTATGTGATTCTTAAAATTTATTTTAAAAAGGGTCATGACAGACAGACAGACAGACAAAGTGATCCTATAAGGATTCCATTTTTTCCTTTCGAGGTACAGAACCCTAAAAATAATGCATTTACAGTCGTTATTAATAAGAATTCAAAGAAAATTTTAGGACTAGTTGTAGTTGTTTAAATATTAATGGTTGATCTTTTATATCAACGTCATGTTATTTAATTTGTAAGGCACATTTAAGAATTTTAAAATGTAAAATACTAATATCTATAAAAAAAAGAAAAATTACATTAAAATTACACAAAAAAGTTCAAACTTATTATTAAATGCAAAAGAAATGTGATGTACATCATCAGGAGTTAAAACTAAACATGAAAAACTAATGAGTATATTTTAAAACAATACAAGAAATATTTTACAGTCTTGAAGATGTTATGAGGATAAAGAGGAATCCAAACACTTACTCTACTGTTACTATGACTGTACCAAATGTAATATCACAGTGAACAATATATTACATCCTACTCCATACACACTATTATCCTTTATGGCCAAAGTTTAAAAATACCTGAATTGAGAAAATTTATCATAACAAATCCATATTCACATGTTAAAACCATAAAAAATCTAGTCTTGTCTATTGTATCAGTCAAGGCACTAAAATTATTTTATCTATGAGGTCTGAAAATTACTAAAGAACCAAACTAATTTTCTCTAAATTAATTTTAACAAAACCAACTGTCATGTCCAAGTACTAAAATACTTAATTTCTATGTATCCATAAACCGAAATGAGGTAATAGACAAAACTTTAAAATATGTACTAAAAATTACCAAAAAAATAATTAAAAAATGGCACTGCATCAGACCTTGGGTATATCCAATTATTAATCTCAAACAACATTCATTCTGTCTGTCTTTTATACAATGATTTTAAAAATCATTAAAACTATCTTTGGATATGGAATGTAACAGCATTAATTTTACAAAAGCTCACTGGGGAATGCTTTGCATTTATAATTAAAAGTCACAAGAGTCTACGTAAAATTCTCTTACTCTTCTTGGTGCATATTGCAAATGAAGCTTTCTTCCTTTTTGTGGGACTAGGACCTTCTAAGTCATACTGGCGACACTTTCTGCCTGGGTGTCTGTCACATCGACAAAATCTACAAAACTGGTAAGCACAAGTATCATTGGTGCATTCCACCCATTCCTCATCCGAATCCTCTTGGTTTACTTTAGCTGGTTGGTCACATCTTGAACACACAACTTGTACTCTTGAATCTAAAGATGCAGCCTGGAATATAAACATAATATTTATCAATACAGAACTAAATACTTCAATACTATGTGTAATGCTATAACAAGACATACCTTAGTAAACTTTTTAAACTTATTAGTTCTCGGTGTGCCCGGGGGGCTTGTTACTGAGCTCTTTGTAGAGTGAATGTGGGCTACATTGTGGACCCCCATTGGTATTCGAACAACCCTGTGGCACATATCCTTTGGTGTTGTTCCTTTGTTCTCTTGGTTTTCCTTTTCACTTTGCATAAACTGGACAAACTTTTGCTTCACTGTTAACTTCTTACTAACTTCATCCCAAACTTTCAACCATGTATCACTAACTAAACTAAAGTTGTAAATATCTTCATTGGATAAGTATTTGAATATTTCCATAATTGGAGGCATAGCTGCATGCTCATATAACATTTTGATGATATCAATTTTTTTGTTAGGTTTAATGTGGTATGATTTAACTTTTACAGCAGATGGTTGTTTCACTGGTTCTAACAGTTCAATGTCACAAGAAAGCGAATGGGTAATTAATTTTTTCACTGGTCTCCTCAGACTCAAAGGGCTATTTAACTTACAACTAGTTCTACAAATTTTCTTAACAGGTGTTGTTGGATATGTTATTTCACTAGCTCCACATTCATGTTGATAATTAAACTCCTGCAAAATCGTGTTTGGACATCTAGTGGCGCATTTACTTTTTATTTTACTCCCATCACTAAATTTAAGTTTACGTAAACATCCAGCTATAAGAGTAGTGGGGGTCGGAATTGAAGAGGCTTCTTCAACATTTTCTATTTCCTCTTGAAAAGGCCGCTTTACTCCACGTCGACTTGCAGGAGAATCTCTAGTGTTTTCAAAACTAATAGAACTCGAACACTTGTACCTCTGACCTAACCGAACCTTCACATCTGGAGTAAGATTGTAACACTCCACTTGAATTTGGCAGTATTGCCTCTGTACGACAGAATTTAAGCTGTCGTTTGATATTTCTGAATATTGGAATGAACCTGGAGTGTAAGATGTATGATAGCCGCTATCTTCATTCTTCGAAAATCTGTTAATGTCATATGTTATTGCTGGTGTTGCGGGCTCCATGAAATTCGAATGGAAATCCATTTTGATAAACTTTATGTAATTCCGTGCTAACACAGAACCAAAGTTAACAGCTTCCAGTTTGCATCACAACGAACGCTTCTTAACCGTCTACACCACTTCAAATAAACTACACGAGATCACATTTGGATTTCACAATTTGTTGTTCTCACATAAACTTTACTGAATGGAGTGTTTAATATTTTGATTTAACTGCCTAAATAATAAGATATGCAAAGCTTTTGTGAAAATATTTAACAAACTTCAAAGTCTTCAAACGCAAGCCATGACAGGTAAGCAAACAAATTCGAATTCAGATTATCTATGGAAAAGCATGGACACTTGATTGGACGCCATTAAAAAGAATTGACCACTTTAAACTTGACAAAAATTTGAAGGATTGCCCGAATCGCCTATTCAAAAATAACTTTTATTTTACTTATACTGTTTGACTGATTACGATTAACTGTCGATCTCTGCCGAACTCCATAGAAATCACTGTAAAAGTCTTTGGGGAAGGTTTTGCTCTGTGGTTTGGCTAACTTTTCCCTTTTCCCGTCAATGGCAAAGTGGCGAAAATCAAATAGGCACAAAATACTACGTCGGGTAGCCCATCCTTGTATATATTGATTCCCTAAATTGGGTTTAGCGTGCGCTTCTTGTGTACTACTTTCGAACTTCAGACACGTTTTTGACGTGTCGAGCAAAGAGTATGTAAAATAATAAATGGTGACTGGAGAGAGAGCTTGATTGACACTTCTGTCTTCTGTCTGTCTGACACTGACTGAGAAAAACAGAGAAAAGAGAAGCCAAAGTCATAAGCATCAATTTATAAAATGTTATATTAAGTTATACATTCTAGTTTTTAAAATGCATAATATTTATTTTCAATTATAGAATTCAACACTTCCATCCCTTTTGTTATGAAAACATGACCATGAATTTTGAAGCACTATGTCGACTATGCGCAAAGGAAGACGAATTTACAAAAGACCTGCTACACGAAAGCAATCAGAATCTCCTTAAATTAATAAAAGAATTTGTACATATTGTTGTAAGTATTACTTAAAAAATACTACTAACGTACTTCAAATATTGTATTTGTACATATTGTTGTAAGTATTACTTAAAAAATACTACTAACGTACTTCAAATATTGTATTTGTTTCTAAAGTTTCTTATGAACCAAAAACTTTTTAACGAGACATCTTTTGAGATACTTTGTTGTATTTCAGATCAGTGATAACGACGAATTACCTACAAAAATATGCCTGAACTGTGAAGAAAAAATGGTCGAATTTCAGTTATTTGTTTTGGAATGTTTTAAAGTTCAAAACACATTAAAAGATATTCATAGGAATCTAAATATAAAGCAAGAACATGTAGAAGTCATAATTAGTCCATCCATTAAGTCTGAGGTTAGTACTATCTCAATAAATTGAAAAATCGGTGAATGTTAGCAAAGTTGAACTTTAAAGTTCTATAGAAATTCCTTATCACATTTGCCCAGTAAGGTTTTGAAATTGTAATTTATACGAAACATTCTTCAGTTACTATATTTTTTAGCTGTCTCTACATAATTTGCTACTTTTAGTTATTATTTAATAAAATCTAAATTAACATTTAAATTAATCCTTTTGTTTTAAGGTTAAAGATGAATTAATGCCAGAAGACATAGTAAGTGAGTATTCATGATGTTTAATTAAATTTGAAATGACATCTTTGTAAATAAATTAATTAGTTTATAACATATAAATGTGTCCTAAAATATACAGTTCAGTTTAAATAAAGTCTTGTCAGGCAACTGTAAATATGTTTTAGGCTTTATTTATTTATCTTGAGTGAGTTCAGTGTAGTCATGTTCAAAGTCTTTTAACTATTAGTAGCATAATAAATGGTTTTTACTATTAAGGGTTTACTTTAATAACCTAATTTTCTTTATTTTGTATAATCAGTTACCATATTTTAAAATATTTAACTAACTTGTAGAAGAAATATTATTTGCAAATTTATACCAAACATGTAATATTTTGTATAATTATTGTTTTTAAATTACAAACAGGTGTTATAAATCATGGTCCGTCATTAGATGAAATGGCCGGTGTCATTGTTGAAAATGAAAACAATGATGATAATAAGGATAAAAATTATAATAAATATGACAATGATGAAGATGATGACGAAGAGTACGAAACGGATGATGATGATGATGATGAAGATGATGAGTATCTAGAGGATGTTTCAATAGCAGAATTGAAACAAATAAAAAAGAAACGTATAAAAAGAAAATCATTGACCGAAGAAGAAGCAGTTGAGTTTCAAAAAGTACTCGAAAAGTCAAATATTAAAGTTAAAGATATAGTTAAGTAAGTAATTTATGTCTAGAGTAAATTAAAATGATGTTTTTCCTGTTTTGAAGTGTTTACCTAATATATTGTTAATATGTTTTTTTTTACATAAATATAATATAACATATACATCAAATTTATCATATAATAAATGTAATATGTTACAGATTAAAATGCGATGTTTGTAAGGAGTCGTTCAAGTCTTGGAGTGCTCTAGGCATGCACTACGCAAAGAGCCACAAGAGTAAACCGCTCGTATTCTGCATCTGTGGCTTCGTTATTCGGTCAAAGAGCGTACTCTACAAACACGTATCCGATCACAAAATAGAAAGTAGGAAATTTAGAACCGCCACAGATTCCGATGGGGACAAACTGGATGATGCCAAGTATTCGAGCCTTAATGTTAAAGATTTTATTAAGTATATATATTTTATTATAATTGCAATAAGTTGCAACATACATTCAAATTTTATGTTGATCCTTATGTTTTTAGTTTTGTATGCAAGCATTGTAACAAAGAATGTTCGAGTTGGTACACTCTGAAGGCGCACTGTCAGCGGGAGCACAACACCTTGCCTTTTGTTAATTGCGTCTGTGGGATAACGCTTAAATCTAAGTCTGTTTTGTATAAACATGTTCAGGATCATAAAAATCCCAATTTCCTAGCGTATGTAGTTTTCCATATTTTAACATTAATTAGATTTGATATGCACACATATGAAACTCAGAATATCCAAATTTAAAGCTGTTGCGCCACGGAACTTGGTTCGATTCCAAGCCGAGGCTAAATATTTTTGTTAATATTTCATATTTGGTCATAACCCATTGCCACTATTATGAAGTATCCTTCATTTGATTATTAAATCATTCTTTATACAAAAATTTTTCCCTGTCTGTCCCAATTGAACAATCTTCTATATATTGGTAACAATCCAGTTTACTGATTGTTACATGTGCTCAGTTTAACGAAAATTATAAGGCTATAGCTTTTATTTGTTTTGTTTTTTTATTCAAATGATTGCATTTTAATTTAATAAATGAGAATGTATACTTGTCAACATTATTATTATCTATAATAATTATTTTCTAGCTGCGATAAATGTCCGAGGATAACAAAGACTATAGAAGCATTAACGAAGCACAAAATGAGACACGTACCAAAGTCTGAGCGTCGGTTTTGTTGCACAACTTGCAATAAGACATTCAACAGTCGAGAGACTTTGAAGTCGCACGAGAGATCGCATATACCAATAGAAGAGAGGAAAGTATTCAGATGTGAACTGTGCGATCTCAAGTAAGTATTAAAAACGTAGTAAAATTTTCACAGTATTTACTTCCCTGTTCTTTATCCACTTAGAAAATGAGTGAAGATGTAAATTTTGTACGAAAGTTATCCACAGTCAGAGGACATTTTCCAGCAAAAGTACTATACTTCGACATGCCTATTTTAAAGCTATTGATCATTTTATTCCAGTCGTATTTAGTTTACGATAAGTATGAGATATATGAGTGTTGTGTAGGTTCACAACGCGGTCATCTGCGGCGTCGCACAAGCGCGTGGTGCACGATAAGATCAAGAGCTACGTGTGCGACCTGTGCGGGTACGCGTGCGGCACCAACGGCGAGCTGCGCCAACACCGCGCCATACACAGCGACGACAAGCCCTACGTCTGCCGCAAGTGTTCCAAACCGTAAGACATTCATACTACTCACACACTACACACTCCTCTACACACACAATCAACTCTCTTACACCCTGATTCCACTAAATAAGTGTAATTATACAACTCAATAAAACCCCTCTCTGTACAAAATAGATCTCTGAGGTTTACACGTTTAATACGTCAAATAAATTTATTCTTGAAACCCACTCAAATATATTTACACAAAAAATATTCACATTATTATAGGAATTAAAAAAGAAATGCTTATGTCAGATTCAAATAATGTATAGTTTCCATTTCCCTATTATTTCATTACAAAAGGTTTAAGTCTTTTAAGAAATGAAATAGTTCTTACCTGCGGGGAAAACTGGAACGAGAAAATGTAAAGCGAGTTATTGTTAAGAGGTAGAAAATTGTTCCAAGTAAAGCGGAGTTTTTATTGTTGAAAGAGAAAAGAAATCATAAAGTAGGTTTAGCGTCAACAAAGTAAAACGCACGCGGCTGTGGCGCCGAGTTGTGCTGAATAAAAGTTGCCAACAACGCCTCGGGAATTTCTAAAGCGGAGCCATCAAACGTAACGAAAGCAAAAAGCATTATACGAAGACTCTCACAGAATTATATTTTGTATTTATACTTAGTTCGCTACTTGAACAAACAAAAAATGTATGAAAATTGCCTTTAAATACACTATTAAACTAGAGCTCTGTTATAACTTTTTTATAACTGAGGTTATAAAAAAGGATATATGTCTATTGTATCTGTTGCACCCCCATATACATACACATATATATGTATGTATGTTGTCAGTTTCAAGACGTATTCGAACCTGAAGACGCACATGGACACCCACGAGGAGACATCGTACGCGTGCTACGTGTGCAGCCGCGTGCTCAACAGTCGGCGCACGCTGCGCAAACATCTGCTCGTGCACGAGGACAAGTGCCGGCACGTCTGCTCCTACTGCAACAAGGCCTTCAAGCGCAAGCAGACATTGAAGGTGACTCATCGACGAAATTACATATCCCTAAAAAGACGTAACGTCAGTTAGCTCAATAGATACATGTTTCCTGCAAATACTAATTGAGATATAATCATTGAATCTGCAAATTTAATTTCAACTTTTCAACAGCAATAGTACAAGGTACAGACTGTTTATTAGGCATAAAAATTCCAAATAAAAAAATATTGTTTATTCCTATATTTTTAATATTTAGCATACAATATATTATATTAAGTAGTAATATTTGTCTTGTTGGTATCTATTAACAAACGGTTTGTTCAACGATATGTTGTTCAGGTGCACATGTACATGCACACGGGCGACAAACCGCTGACGTGCAAGTGGTGCGACGAGAGGTTCGCGTACGCGTCCACGCTGCGCTCGCACCGGCTGCGTTGTCACGCGGACAAGATGGCGGCCAACCACCCGCACGCACATGCGCATGCGCACACGCACGCTCCCCTGACAACGCACGCGCCGCCCTACGACGCGCTCGCGCACGCTATACATCAGGTATATATCATATTTTATATTTTGCTAACTTTAGATGTATGGATGTTTGTTAGAAGGAATCTCCAGAACACTTAAAGGGATGTCGCTAAAATTGGTCATAGATCATGTTCTATAGTCTAGAAGAACACATAGGCTACACAAAGTGTTTTTTCCGCGCGAACAGAGGCGACAGCTAGTAATAAATATAAAAACGAACATAAGATGGATTCATATTTATCGCGGTCAAATAATTTTTGTCTTTTTGTTTAGGAATTTATGAAAAACGACGCAACGGGAGCTGTACCTAAGAATGAAGTGGAGGCTATATAAATTATGAGAACATCGTGGAAGATTTTTTCTTGATTTATCCTTGGAGTATGTTATATTTTTGTATTAGGACAAAGACTTATGTTTTAGGTTATTTTTATTCTTAGACATATCAAGTTCATTTATTATTTATCTATAAAGAACACGAGCAGCTACGTAGTTCTTTTTATAATATTATTATACATATAATTCATTTCAATATATTCATAAATATTAAACTGTAAGAGAATTGATTTTCACAATATTGATATAACGACATTTGTATTTTGAATTGTTGATAATTTTAAAATAATATAACGTTTGGGCAAATTGTTAAAAATTTCATCACAGGTACAGTGGCGTCCACTGGCGGTAGGTAACTCTGTAGTAGTTATCTTTTGAACATCTCGTATGACTTAAAAACATTGTTAATTGTTGTAATAATAGCATATTCCACATTATATTAAGTCAGAAGTACAATGCAGGCGACAAACTGTAAGAAGAATGCGGATTTTCACTGAAAGGAACCAGACTATCTGTAAGTTAAATAGCGCAAGCGGAAGCCACAGTACATATGGAAAAATATTTACAGCTATAATAGAAACTTATCACAGAAAAGGTTTTAAATTCTCGATGTATTTTGTCGCTGGTAAACATACCTCTTTTATTGTAAATATCTTTACATCACAATTATCACAAATATTTTTAATAGCAAAGTTTTAAAACTCATGTATGTATTATATTAGACTAGTCTAAGCTCATCACACCAGTGACGTCATAATTTTTACAAATATGGAGCCCTCGTTTATTTCGTTTCGAGTGCTTCCCGTTCTCAAAGATATTTTTTTTCCATTAGGCCGATTGAAACTATGGATTTATTCTGGCCAATGAAAAAAAGCTCACTTAAGCCGATTGATCGACAAACTAATCGGTCTAACGGGAATCACCCGTTATTTCTAGAATATAAACCTTTTTAATCTTCCGTGAAATCCATTTTTAGATTTCAGTACTTTTGTACAAAGTTGATTCATATGTCCAGCTCCATGTTAAAATTAAGAAAAGTATTTTTGTGTTGTTTATATACTTAGTTATTCATCTACGATGAAGTCTGTGGAATGTTTTACACATTTTGCTGTATCTTTATAAGTATAGAAATTTGTTTCTTAAATAAAGAATTTATGCCGGTAAAAAATGTTGATTTTGCACTATTTCCTATTTGGCTTATGTCCTAATGCTGCAGAATAGTATCTGTAGCATAGTATATTAGAGGTACTTTCGGATCTATTTTGTTTTATAGAAAACGTATATATGACATAATCAAACAGAATAGCATTTATAGTTGAATGTTTTCCTCCGTCAAATCAATACATAATCGATTGCAATCAACGTATCGTGTTACTATGAGTAAGCAAAATCGATCATGATGACTGTCATAGTAAATCTGGAAATACACATAATGAATTGACAAAACACAGTAGTCAAAGTAACATCGGTCATTAAAGTAACCTACGAAGTACAATTGCAATAGTTTAAAAAAATATTCAGTTAAAATTAATAATTTTTCCTAAAAATATGCTTTATTCAAAAATATATACTAAACGTACTACAATGAAACTATTGACATTCCAAGTCTAGTAATTAAAACTTAAAACTTTTATCTACTGAAAATCTGAAACTATAGAGAACGTAGTAAGCTAGAAAGCAGCTTAATAATAAGCTTAGGCTTTGATGGTATTCACTCAAACGAAGTATAAACCTATTTTAAAAAAATAGAACGGCATGCGTATATTGAAGTCAAACAGAAAAAATACTGTGCGTCAAATTATAAAGCAACGATGCAGTCTCTTACATAATTAGCCTTTGTTCCTTTCAACGCTCGACGTTACAAAGGCGGAGCGAGCTTTCAAACGCGATAAAGGAAAAAACAAACATAATGTACTTAGCCCTTTGACGTCATTTATTACTTTATAGAGTATAAAAGATACTTTAAAAATCTACATATTTAAACAACTTTTGTTTGGAAACCTAATTTTTTCATTCGTTTTTAATTATGCTCATATTGTATTTAGTAATACAAGGAGAATTAAGGATTTAATAAGTAGGAAAAGTATAAAAGTGCTACCTCTAATTTATTATCTTCTAGTATACATTTTAATCTACACCGTAGCATGTCTACGCTAAATAAATTCGCAACATTCAAAATAATAGTAAAGAAGTTTCAAATCAATTATATTGCATTGTTTTATACTAAAAAGTCGAAACAACTTGATAAGTGTAACAAATTGATTAACAAGGCTTAGTACCGCATTCACAAAATGAAGCGAATATAGTGAAAATTTGTATCAACTTAAAATTGTAAATAAAGCTTCGTGGACTCAGTATATTATTAACCACAACAAAACATGTTCTATCTTGAAAAGTCTAGTACAACTTGACAAGTTTATCGAGTGGACGTGCATCTGCAGAAATGCGATGAGGTGGTGCTTCTATGTCGATAATTTGGAATGGCGCCAGCACGAGGGGCGCGATGTGAGAGTGTTCTCCATGGGGATTGCGAAGTGAGAATATTTTCGAGGCTGTGTTGGATCCACGCGCGAGATTACCGTCACTAGGCCGGCTGGCTGTTAGCCAATCTCTTCCACTTCAATGTTTATTACGTAACAACTAAAGCGATACATTGGACGTTACATCATGCTGCTCATAACTTTTTAAAGCAAAACACTCATTAAATTAAATACATTTTAATTATAATACTTACGTAAATTATGTCTAAACTTAAATTTCTCGGCAAATTTTAGAGTAAAAGTCAGCCGATCATATTTTATGTCAATAAATTGAATTTTTTGATTTCCTTTTATTCTATGCTAAAATATTGTAATACAACATTTGCGATTCTTATCTTTCTCGCTTAGGTAAGCAACTGCAACAACATATTTATAGCGGATTCAATTAATGTTGAATGTAGCGAACCAAAGCGACCGAAAGGTTTTTAAAAAATAAGCGGATTTTGGTAAAGCTCTTAATACGATACCGAGATTATTTGAAATAAATTATATTTCCACCTTTACACAGTTTGCTTAAATTTTATACGCAAATATAGAATCTGAAAATTCATTTCAATTTTAATAAGTATGTAGTATTTTTTATTTTAAAAAAGGTAATGTTAAAATATTATAATAACATTAGAGCCCTAAAAAATTGTGTAGTGCTATACAGGACTACCGTTAAGGCTAGAAATCAGTTATAACAGAATCGTCTAAGCCTCAATAATGCCGTACATTTAATGTCAAATAGTTATTATCAGCCTATCTTAATTTCACACTAATAAATATGAAGACGATCTGACAATAGAATTAAATAAACAGGAAAAATTATTCCCAATGTAAAACGCTTAGTTATTTTTGTTCTGCTCTGTTATTATCGTGGTGAGGGTACAGAGAGAAAATGTGTAAGGACACGAAGGTGTCGGGTGCCAAGGGCGCGGGGTGGTGAGTGAGGAGCGCGGGGTTGCGGGGGTGTGGCGGAAAGCCGCCCTCAGTGCCACGGAGGCTGCGGTCTACGCCGCCCGCCCAACGCGTTTCATACCACAATAACAATTTCTATCCTTAAGGCAAATATATTAAATTCACTTAAATTAACCTCAAGTCCAAATGTGCACGGTACTGTTTTGTTTTTAATCGTTTAAAATACGTACATTTGTGTTAAATATAAATGTGATGCAATAAGTATTATCAATCCGCATTTAATGTCAACATGAGATGAACTTTACCTTTTAATCCTGTGCGGTGTACGAACGCGTATAACGAAATCGATAAAAATAATATTGACAAAAAATAAGTAATATCAATGAAGTGAAAACTTACGTAAGTACACATTAATTATTATTATTAAGAAAAACAAAACATTTGTAAAGTTCATCATTATATCATATCAATTTTAAACTTTCATGAATATTATTGCCCTTTTTGCTTACAAATAACACGTAGATTGTCGCCTCGCATAAAGCTGTTAGAGTTTTGAAAGCGACAAACTTTTCAAATTATTTTACAAAAGTTTGTTGTCAGTGTACACGTTCGCTGAGTGATAATAAAAGTATCCAATTGTAGTTTGATAAATAAATTTTACATGTATATTTAAAATTTTGTCACATACCATAAATAATATCGCCATTTTACATCAATTTACAATTTTGGACGCAATAATATTAAATAAGATAGAAATAAAATATGACCGTAAATATAATAATGAATTTGAATTATAGAAATTCGTTATAAATGTAAATTAGTTAAACGAAGTTGACGGGGAGTGTGTCCTCTGATTTGAAGAGGGTCGCCATCGAAGCGAGGGCTCTACAGCCCACGGCCTACGGCCCACCGCCGCCGGGCCAATTATATTATGTAGATGTTTTGACTGAGAAGAGGTTGCTCTTCTGTCTGTGATAATAAGAACAGCTCCTTCACTTTAGAGGTGACTGCTAGTGAGATATTGTAGAACACGTCGTACAATGTCTGGAGGATTTACGAGTAATCTCCAGAACAAAGTAATTTTATAAGTACGCACTTAAAATTTTGTTCTTATTTGAATTATTAATTATTTTTGATTAGGGTGACTGCAAAAACTGTGATGATTGTTCACTACATTATGGAATAATCAATATTTAAGACTATTATAAATCAAACAATTGAACAACAAATTAAAAGTCAAATGAGTAATCACGTACCTATTTATCCAAATCTATACAAAATTTGTATTTCTACCCGCGTTGCAGAGAAATGGAAGTGTATTGCATGTCATACGTCATAAGCGATTCAACAATAATTAAAAATAGAAAAGTTGTAGTGTTCCCTAGTGAAACTAAATTAAATTCTTTCTTTTTAACAGGTAATTAAAATAATTGCAAAACTTATTTATTACAAAAAGCATTTTGAAGACTATAACGATACGATACCCGCAAAGACATAAAAATGAAGAATCTTCCGAAGCGGAAACTAATTGTGATGTCGCTAATTTTCTTGGCGTCCCTAAAGGTCGTTGTTTGCAAAAATTCAACAGGCGTAAACTACACAACTACAAGGGACAAAATTGAAGCGACAACAAACGCGCCACTCGCCACAGAACCGCCTTCAACACAATCGAGTGGCAAGCTATTACACTCTACACTATCTCCATCGTCTACCACTTCGACAACAAAAGCCAACGTAAACGAAACAATAGAACGCGCGAGCAGCGAGAACACAACTACCATGCGGACCAATACAAAGGCTCCAACAATAGCTAAAACAAAGGGCGTAACGAAAAGTGCAAGAAAGCAAAAGCTAAACACTACTTCTAGTGGTTTTAGTGGCGGCGCGCGTTCCCGGGCGCGCTTTCAAGATCACTTGGGGGCCACAGACTGCGACCTGCCCCTTCTGCCGCACGAGTCTCGCCTCTGGCGCGGCAACGAGACGCATGAACTGAATTTACCAGTAACGGTAAGCTATGTACTAAAAAGTATAAATATAAATTGTGTTTTAGTTTTGCTTTGTTTTCAATTAATAACATCACTGGACTAAAGTTCACATTGTATGAAAAAAGGTTACAGATTGTTAATTAAATAAATAGAATTTTTTACAAAATTTTAAAATAATATTTTGGTCAAGATTACAAAATTCTATTGCACGACGGTCGCGAGAGAACAATCTTTGTGAACCGTGTAGAAAGTTATAAGTTACAAACTTGGAAAATCTGGTTTGAGTTACTCTCTTAATCTCAGTTGAATGTGACGGCTTCTCGGTTGTTAAGACAGGATTTAGTCCTAAGTTACGCGACACTCACAAGCACTTTTAACTTTTATGACACACTTAAATGCTGTTCACGAATCTTCACGCTCTTACTGCCAAACGCAGGGAAATTTAATGAGACTAAATCAAAACTAACAAACTGATCAGGGAAGTAATCGTTAAAAATCTTTTAAAACCTATTAAGAATTATAAACACTTTGAAGTCAATCTAGAACTTTATTATTACTTTAAAGTTACACTTGACAGATACTAGCAATAACTTACTTAAAACTTCGACGGGTCTTGTAAAAGCTTTCCTGTTAAAATATCTTACAGTAAGTACTTATTCCATCGCTGAAAATATAAAAGGAAAACAAGACATATAAAAGCTTTTTATGATTCTTTTAAAAAGCTTTTTTA